AATAATATCCCACAGTATAGCTCTATTCAATCATTGGACGAGTCTTCTCTCACTGGATACTTCTGCATGGCCATGGCTTTGATCCTCTACCTTAGATAGAAATAGTATGGGATAAGCTTTAAGAAATTCTCCATCCCCTCTCAATAAAGTCCAAAAATAAAAAAGAAAATAATTCCATATACTTAAATCCTTCTCTTGATGTGAGCAAGCCATAGATTGCCAATGAATCGAAAACGATGATTAACTAGATCTACCTCCATTAACTGAAAATTTACGCATAACTTTAAAATAGACAAAGCTACAAAGTCACTAGCCCGACCAAACATTTCTTAGACCCGCTTTCCATGGCATCAACGAACACCTTGCCCTCTAAGAATGCCTTGCCATCAAAGTGATACCTAAGCATCGCCTAGGCTGCACCTCCAGAACTGTGGATTTCTTCAAAAGAATATGAGATTTAAGACGTCAACTAGATAGCTTCTCCATATTATCTCATATGGAAATCATTATGACGCTTCTGTACGTCAGATTGTTGTAGTAGTTCATCATTTTTCCCAAGAGCCATCATAATCATGCCCAAATCTGAATTTTTTAGGAGATCTCCCGCTTAAAGAAAACTAATATCTAATGTAATTTATGGAGGTGGCTTCATTTCCGTCATGCTTCGTAAAATGTGTTCTCTCCTTATATCAATAAATTAATACAAGGTTAAACAACCCATCAAACCACTTGGACGAGCAGTGAGTCAGTAAGGAACAGAGAAACAAGAAATGAACGGAAAAACTTCTGCGAGATTTAATTAGACGTCTTGAAGAGGCAGGGCATTCATTGGCCATGAATGACAACTTATGTCGAGATAAATACAGCTGTAAACAGTGAGGTTTGCAAAACTGATATGCCCGAACAAGATCCACGGAATCACTTGAGCACCCACCTCCAAGAAGGCCTACCATCAATGCTGAAACACCCAAAACTACTGCCGGAATAACTGTTCTTACCTGGGCGACGGGACTTCTTTGCAATATAACATCAGGAGAACGAAAAATAATAGGTAATAAATAGAGCAAAGAAAACTGAGAAGGTCATGATGAGTTCTTAGTAAGAAAGTAACACCTCCGGCAGCTTAAATATACCATAAATATGCAGCAAACAGCGGCTTCTAGGAGGAAATGGAAAAACTACAGAGCTCAGCGACTGAGGCTCTTTTGCGATATAGCATGAGGAGAATGAAAAAAAATAGATGTGAGTAAGTGAAACTGAGATGATGATGACGGGATCCTCCGTTCTTGTATCGTATAGGACAAAATGTGACGATCAGTTCTTAATAACAAGGTAACAACTTTCCCATCTTTGGCACGCCTTGACTTCTACCAGGACATGAAAAGCTACAGAGCTCGTGGAAGAAGTAAACCTGGTCGAAGATGTGGAAAGCTGACGCCAGAGATCGAAGGTGGCTTCCGCTGATGCTGAAACGTTGCAGAAGGGCCCGATCCTTCTTCTCTTCCAAGAGGTCATCGGAGCACCCTCTGTTCGTCATGAATCCGCAGCACGCGTAACCGCAAGAAAACCCGAGGAGACCGGCAAGGACGACCAAAACCCATAAAACCCCAATCTTTACCCCCCCACCGCCGCATGCACCCCCGGGCACACCCTTCAAGCCTCCATTGCAATTCCAAACCCTCCAATTCCAAGACATCCTGGCAAGAACCCACAGTCTGAACCTCACGATGAGCCGAGAGAGCATGAAAAACGACTTGGAAAGGGAGGTAAACCTCATCAAACGAGGAGGTTCCAGAGGGACTTTCTCTCCGAACCAGCCACGGAATGAACGAAAAGGAAACCCACCTGGGGCTTTCTCCGTTCCGACGAGCAAAATGTCATTACACCAAGCTCAGGAACGCACCAACACCTCGCCGGAGAAGATCCCACGATGAACTAACCGAGGCATTGCTGGAATCGAGAGGGCAGGGAGAGAAAGATGGCCGTATTCTTACACCCGCCTTGATCAAATCTTCTTCTCCCGAGGAAACCCGGTCTTCCCCCACCAAAACCTCCCCAGAATTATACCTTCTATCACACCGCCGCGGAAGAGTCCAATGACGGGGGATCCGAAGCTCTTTTCTCCGCTCTACCTGCACGGGAATCATTGGTCAGATGAGCAAAAAGGAGAACTCGATGAGCCACCAACGGACAACGGAATTGAAAAATGGAAGTCCTTCTCTACTGTACCGTTTTTGTTATTTTCCTTGGCCTCTATCCCCCTCGGGGGCGCCTCCTCAAGCTGTAGGCTTTTGTGGGAGCATTCCTCCGCTTAGACGACCATCATTATCTCACTATCTCAGCGGGGAGAAAAGAGCAGCGAACTCGGCAAAACGGAGCAAGCAGAACCCCGTAACAGAGAGAAGAGAGGAGAGTAGCAAACAACGACAAGAGCACCGGGACTGGGGGACGAGGGAGGCTTGTTGTTAACAGCAGCTTCTCGAGCTCCTTTTTCCGCTTTCCACCCTTTCCTGTTTCCTCTTCTCGCTCTTTTGCTCCGTGGCCTGTGAAAGCGACCTCTCCCTCGGCCGTGTGGAGGGTGGTCGCGTTAAACACGGATTTAAAATTATAAAAAATAACCCCGGGAAGAAGACGGGTTGACAGAGAACGTGACCGACTGTCCGCACACTGTTCTCGTTGCCCTTTCCTCTTCCACAGTTTCTCTAACTGTCCGAGCTCGAAAGGGAGAGCAGAAGATCTCAAAACACAGACAGCGAGAGAGAGAGAGAGAGAGAGAGATACGGGGCGATCGACGCATTAAATGGCAGAAGTTTTAATGTTTACTTTGGTGATTAATCGTTAGTCGAGGAAGAAGATGATGTCCTTCTACCGCTACCTATACATTGCCCGAATCCGACGGGACCAAACTGGTTTCTTCCGAAGGCGCCGGATGAGAATCTCATCCCCACCGAGCTCCACTGGAGCCCCTATCGGTTGGCGGCAGGCGAGGGGGCAGCTTTATTAGTAGCTATGTAAGCTCTCACGGCCCAAAGTCGTACCGATATTCCCCCCTGGTGCCGGCGGCGACCGAGGAAGAAGACAAACATAATGCCCACGGCGACCGCACATAGATTAACTTAATCACCGCGACAGCCCGGGGGAATGCCTCCCCATGGGGGTCAACTCCGGATTTAGTCAACCGGGGTTTTCCAAATGCGGCGCGGTTCGAGTTCGAACAGGACTTGCCCACAAGTCAGCGCACTTCTCGTTGATAAAATAGCGTCCCGTGAAATGGGACCAATAAAAACGTCGTTAAAAATGATATCTTTCTTTCACGGGCAAGAGACTATCTGACGGATATGTGTGCGCGGGGAGGATCTCCGCGTTGGCAGCTATGGGCCCACATTTTTTCGGTGACGTGGCCATATATAAGTCGGCGATGCAAAGGCGCGATATGGATCGACGGATCTGATTATCTCGAGATGCGCCAGATCGTTGGCGTCTCCCCGTCGATAAGAGCGATGACCGGAGTAGTGCTGAAAAATGGCACAATCTGGGATAAACCCGTATCCTACGGCTTGGATTTGCGGTGGTAAGTGCCGATCAATGATTCCCACGTGGCACGCGGCCAGACCCTCCGGACGCTAGCCCCAAGAGAGGCGCAGCGGGAACCCACCAGTCAGCTTGCATGAATAGGGTAACACGTGTCGATCCTGGGGCGACCGAAAGTGGGCCCCACACCGTTGACGATTCAAGATGGAACTCTGTCTTCCTAGCAGAGGGCAGCTGTCCGGGCCCTATACTCTGCGGCCTCTTACGTGGTTCAGGAGACAGCCAATGGCAGGCGGCGCGCCAGAGCCCGTGGCGCCATCGACACCATCAAACCTCAATCGGACGGTTGAAAAAAACTTCCAGGCAGGAAGGCAGCATGCCTATTTTTACCTAGCCTATAGGTCGAGCAAAAGTCACGTGGAACCGAGATGGTCGGTTTAAGGGTGCTAGAAGCCAACCGGCTTTCGTCAGCCTCACTCCGTTTACGGTACCGTGCTCCCCGTACTGTTAACGTGAACCACCATCATCCGCTATCTGCATGGCCAGGCTTTGTACGTGGCGCCAGAGTGCTTTTCTACGGAGGTCGTCAGAACGGCGATTATTGGAAGGCCACGGAGGAACAGCAGACCTCCCCCGCTCTCGCCCTCCTGCCGTCGCGCCGCTGGCTACTGGTTGCCTGGTTTCTCAGAGGCCTCTGGGCTCTGTTTGCGTCTCTCTCTCTCTCTCTCTCTCTCTCTCTCTCTCTCTCTTGCAGGCACCTAAGAAGACAAAAATGAAACCTTTTAGGCGAATGCTCTCCCCGGGGTGACGAGCTTTCTCTGAGAGGTCAATCAGAGGTTCGTTAATCATAAAACCAGAGAAAAATGATCTGATACACAACGTCGGGTTTGGGGGACCCCCCGAGCTCGTTCGCGCAGGAGGGAATTGAAGAACAGATGAACTGACCGGAGCAGCCGGTTGACCAAATGCGTTGACTTTTATGATCGGCCGGGGGTCAACCTGTAGACGGCGACGTGCCGTATTGCCGTCGCGCGACTGGACAACCATCTCCTCGTCTTCTCAATCGAACATAAGATAAAAAGCTCTCGTCTTTGAGCCCAGAATCCCGTAACAAAAGTCAATACACCGTCCGTACAGAATCGAAACCGGGAAATGGTCTGCTACCAAGTGAGAAATACAGCGAATATCAACGGGCCACATTAGGGCTACCAGAGGTCAACCCTCCACCCCTCTCCGGGGGCATTTCTTGCATTGGAGCAATTATCAAGGGTTAATATGACCCATGAAACCCGCGGATGGGGACGAGGGCTGCCGTCTATATAGACTACTCGTGACAAAATTAGTCCACAAGGGAAGGTGGGGAGTTCCTACCGGTACGAGAGCCAGGAGAAAGTCAACCCGAAAGTTGATATACACGCAAGGGGCAAGCTCTTGACGCACTCTGCAACGGCGTTTTGTTCGTGAATAAATTAATTTGTCGATCCTTCGGTTTGAACGGGCGGCTCCACGATCTCAGCAGGCGGCGCCGCCCATTTGCCAGAAAGCGCCATGCCCATCATCTCATAGATCTTCCCACCGAGCTCGGAAGGATTGTCGGGCTGCAGGAACACGAGGTGGAAAAATAAATTAAGTTCGATCACAACATAAGGATATAATCAGATTCGCCCCCCACGAATTCCCTAAATCTGAATTTAAACATAAAAAAAATGAAAATAAATGTCATAATTCGTCTTTCGATTTATTTTTTATATCTAACCAATCCTTTACTAAAAATATAATTTCATGCATTGAAATATGGAGAATATCTAGAGAAAAATGCGACGGTGGCTTTTGCTACTCACAGTGAAGCCGCTGGAGATCAAAGCCGTATCATAGAGAAGGTCAATGGCCCTCTGCGCCTCTGGATCGTCAGAAGAAGTTCGGCAGGCAACCTGTAGAGCAACGAAATATTTGACGAACAAAGCCAATATATTCGGTTTCTGATCATAAGCTGGTAAACAAAAACAAAATATCGTGTTTGTGGCTATGAAAAGATCAAGGATTTGATTATGAGGTTGAAATGCCCTACATTCAAGTCTTTGATTATGGGATGGTCCGGGTTAATTTCAAACACTCTTCTGCTGCGCATAAAGTCCAAGCTACTTGTGTCCCCAATCGTCTGAGCCTTCATCAACCTGCACGAAACACGACATGCATGATGCAGACATTAGTATTCGATGGTTTGAGAGGTGAGTGGTGGGGTCAACGCATAAGGAAGAACTAACCTTTCCATGTTCGCAGACCAGCCAAATTTCCCAGAGACAAGAACACATGGAGATGTACTGAGCCGGTTAGAAATCTGGACACTGGCTACTTTGTCCCCCAGCCTCTTCTTAATCCAGTCGCACATTTGGCCGAATTCCTGCTTGATCTCCTTCTCCTTCTCCTCGTTCCTATCACCTGCCCAGAGATTCGAGATGATTTCAAACTCTCGGTTCGCGGAAGAATCAAAGGAGTAGAAGCAGGCGGAAGCAGAGTCTGACCCAGATCCAGGTCCTCCTTGCTGATGTCCACAAAATTCTTTTCCTTGTAGGATTTAAGATTTGTAATGGCCACCTCGTCTATGGGATCAACTAAGAACAGAACCTGCGGAGCGATGGTCGCAAAATCTGCGGTTAGATAGATACTTGTGGTAGAAGGATGTGGGAGAAAAAAAAGAAAAAAAAAGAAAGGAAAAATAGGAATGATGTAACCCGGTTGACAAAGCTTAGAATTGGGAATCAATTAAAATCCATACTTCATATTCTTTCTCAAGAAGCCGCTCCAGGAAAGGAGTGTTTTTCGCACTTGTCAAGCTGTCAGCTGCAATATAGTAAATATCCTTTTGTTCGGGCTTCATATTCTCCACATACTCGTCTAAGCTGATCAGTTCTTGCTCACTATGAGACGAGAAAAATCTGAGCAGTGGTGCTATGCGCTTGTGGTTTGGGTGGTCCTCCATGCAACCCAATTTCAAGTGTTTACCAAAGTTCTCCCAGAACTTGTCGTAGTCCTGAGGCAACAGTCCACATATATACATGTAATAGGAAGGCATCATGTTTGGAGAAAGATTTAGAATCCATAACGGTTTGCATAAAGCGGTATCTGTCAGACAAAGTATACTTACATCTCTGTTCTCACTGAGAGAAATACCCAAAATCATATCAAAAGCCTTCCGAACAAGGCGCTTTCTCATTATTCGTATCTGCAATGAGGGTGCATAGAAGCCAGAAATTAGAAGCGTTGAAAAAACCAGACAGAGAAAAGCGTAACAATGACCAATAGCGCACTTACTATGCGGCTTTCTTGGAGGATTTCACGCGATACATTCAGCGGAAGGTCATTTGAATCCACAATACCCTTCACAAAACTTAGGTACCTCGGGAACTAGTCAAGACAATAACGAAGAAGCCAGTTAAGTCAAACTGAGAAATCGGTGACGACGTATAAGTGATAAGAGTACAGGTCATACAAGTTCGCCGTCAAACTCATCAGAGATGAAAACACGTTTGACGTAAAGCCTTATGTTCCTCGTCTTTGGATTGACAATGTCATCTCCTCTTCCTGCAGGACTTAAAGCTGGCACAAATAGGATAGACCTAAACTCAACTTCACCCTGATGCAAAAATATGATTGGGTTAGAACCAAAAGCAGAATGCTACCTAAATTTCAAGACATGTAACTGAAAAGGCAAAAAGAGTATACAGAAAGGGCATCGGGTGTTCCAAATTCCAATAGATAGCTATGTCATAATTCAGAAGATAGCAACTGCTTCTGAGGAACGCATAAGTGAGAAAATCCCATGCTATTATAAAGCCATTGGATGCCACGAATTCAGAGAGCAAAAGTTTCCGCCCTTCACAAGTTTTGTATTCCAAAATAATTTCCGAATAATTTATTCTGATTGTTTCTTCTACATGGGTTGTAACTCGATCCTACCATAGTGGGGTTCCTTTTGTCATTTTTCATTAGTTTTACCATCTCAAATAAATATTTATGGCATTCAAAGAAAGGCAAATGCCATTAAAAAAGATTAATAGCAATTCCAGTTCCTTTAAAGGTTCCATGTATACAACATGCTATCTTAATCATCTCATATGTAACAACACATTCTGTCTCCAACGTCTAAACATAGAATACCACGGATAAACGACTGTAAAAAGAAAAACTATTTCAACAGTACGTCCCTTTTGTGAGCAGGCTATTAAATGATATGACTATTGATATTCAAATGCATCACGTATAAATAAATATGCATATTTTTACCTAATAATGAATAAATACAGAGTGTATGATCAACGATGTAAAAAACAGCAGAGATAATTGACAATAGCCTGCACTTAGGTTCTCAGATATTGCACGAAACAAATTGGATTCTGCGGCAAGTGAACGTATGACATCAAAAAAACAGTTCAATTAGTCAGATCACCGTCCTGCCAAAGCAAAAGTCGAGGGTTCAGACCCACCAAAATTAACTACAGGAGTGAATTGAAATGATGTTCAGGGAAACCATACGCAAAAAATGGATCGATCATACATCTGTCTCAGACCATCCCATCATATTAATTTTAATATTAATAAAAAAGTCACCTCAGTTGTGAAGTGCGATGATGCTAAAGGATCCAAGTATTCCTTGAAGGTATTCTTGTAAAACTCGTTATACTCCTCAGTAGTCACATCCTTCGGATTCCGAAGCTGGGAGAAAAAAAGAAAGATGCATAATGCAAATTAATCCCAGAAACATCGAGCAAGAACTCAGGTGCTAAGGTTCTTCGAAAGAAAAAGTTTCAAAAAAAGATCTCTACAAACTCACCCATATGGGCTTAGTCTCATTCGTAAGTTCCCAGTCCCAATATCGTTCGACCACTTTTTTTGTTTTCTTCTTCTTCTGCAAACAAGGTAACACGCATTTTTTTTAAAAATATTGAGTTTAGGTAATGAGAAATAACATAGAGCCAAGGACAATTGATAAATTAGCGGGAGGGTTACCTCAGTTTGGACATCTTCATTGCCTTCCTTCTTCTCTTCACTGGGATCCTCGTCAACCTCGACCTATTTATTATGACCAACAAAAAACAGCTATAATGATATCCGCCAGGAACCATGAAATACAATAGTACGGAGAAACAACGTCGGTCCTAGGACTGTAATCATGAAAGAAAAGTAGAACCTAAAAAAAGGTGAGATCCATTAAAAATCAAGTTACTTCAATATCTCAATGCGTACCTCCTTTGTAAATCCTTTTTCTTGCCAAGTGTATATAGGGAAAGAAACAAACTGCGAGTAATTTTTTACGAGATTCTGGATCTTTTCAGGATGAGCAAAAGCCTTGTCATCATGCTGTAAAGCAAAGTGAAAGAGAAGGCCAAATTTAGAGGCGTTCAAGAAACAAAATTAACAGTAAGACAAATATATTGAGATGCTAACTTTAAGATATAATGTTATCTGTGTCCCTCTAGGAATTAGTTTTTCTGGGTCTGTTTCCTCTCGAATTGTGTACGAACCATCGTCAGCCTTTCCTTCCCATACATATTGCTTGTCTGATTTTGGGCTCTTTGTGGAGACGGTGACCTATCGACACATAGCAGAAGAAGCAATTCTTTCTCAGAAAAAATATTTTAAACTATTTTTTTTTGTATAAACACAGTTTCTAGCATTTCAGTTAGACACTCAACCCGACTGGAGACAAGAAAAGCTGAATAGAACCCCACACCAAACTGCCCTATCAAATTGCTTTCCGCACCAGCTTCATTACTTTCCTGTCATCCCAAAAAAAAAGATGAAATATTAGGACAAAACTCAAATGCGGGCAATCGACCCTACTATTCACAGCAATAAGTGAATTCATCACTCTGCACACCAAAAACAGTTCCAACAACCTTCACTGCTTTCAGGAATTTTGCTGTTCCACTCTGTGCTATAGTTCCAAGACAATCAACAAGTTCTTGCCTTGTCATGCCAATGCCCGTGTCGCTGACAAAAAAGATTAATTTCATTCATGAGCTCAAAATATCAAAATAGAGAGGAAAATAAGATACTTACGTAATAGTGATGATCCCATTATCCTTGTCTGTCTGAATACGAATCTCAAGGTCAACAGCTTCCTTCATGAGATCAGGGTTCGTAACACTCAAGAAGCGTAGCTTGTCAAGAGCGTCACTTGCATTACTGCAGTTGGCCATACCAAAATGTTCTCAAAGGTGTAGAACTTAGTTGTAACATGAGATATAAAATATCTATCATCCACAACAGCCATTCAAAAAATCTGATCTTATCCAAGAATCGAGGCTAATAATAGTATATGCACCTAGATAGCGACATCTCAAGCCATGAGAAGATTCAATAGTGGTACCTAAACATATTCTTAAGAAAAATAATATCAGCATACAGGCTCCGCTAAAAGCCATTAACGCCATGATAGTTGCATAATGCATAGCATGGAGTCCCCACGCCGTCAGGAGTTTAAAGAAATCACACCATGGGGGCTCAGTACCATTGTATAGAATGGAATCAAAAGATTCGTTCAGGGATGGTTAAGTCAAGCAGCTAAAGTGATCTGGTGAAACTATCAAAAAGATGCTAGGGAAAGGCAGAGGACAGGAAAATAACTTCGAGTTAGTCAAAGCAGCGCGTTAAAGGAGATCAAATATGAAATAGAGACGTACCTGATTAGCTCTCGAAGGAATACTTCCTTGTTGCTATATAAGCTGTGAACTATTAAGTCCATGAGGCGACTAACCTATCACGGAGCAGAAATGAATATCACTATCTCAAGCTCTAATTATCCTTTTTGAAATATATGAATGTCATACGAGAGAGCGTTATACCTCGGCCTGGTACTCAAACCTCTCGCCTACAGGATCCGTAGTGTCAGCTGCAGCTGCGGAGGATTCGTACCTAGTGCCAAGAAGGAAACTGCTTTTTGGGTTTAGGCCAGGAGCATAGAAGGGGCCATCGTTATTCGATGCGGAAAAGGCAGAGAATAATCTAGATGGAAGGCACGTCGGTTTGGCATCCCCTTCTGTGGCCTGCATAAAAGTAGAGAAATCCCAGGAAGCTAAGACACAAAGGAACCCATGCACGTCGATATAATGACGGGATGAACGTGGCTTAACAAGCGAATCTATGCAGAGAAGCTTCAGACAGTTTTGCCGAATGATAGAGAACAAGTTCCTTGCTGGAAAGCGCACAGAGACCGGGACATGAAACAATACGCAACAAATGATCGTCTTGAAACTGATTCACCACAAATAGGTCACAACAGCAGTCCTTTTCAGTACATACGTCGAAGAACACGAACCCCTCACTCACAGCAAATGAAAACAATGTCCAAATAATACGATCGATCAACGAAACGTCATTTTCAGGCTTACAGGTGAATCACACATAGAAAAGAATGCATAGGCTCCTGGAGGATCACTTCCAATTCCCACCGGCGATGAAGAATGAATTCAAGAATAGTGGAAAACCAAAGAACCAATGAAGAAATCAAGAATGATGAATGCTGAACCCGAACGAGCACGTAAACAGAGATAGAAACGACAACTATGAGCAGATGAAACCAGAGTAGCTCCGAACGTAACAAAGCGAGATAACAGTCGCGGACCAAGCTGAGACCGAAATAAACATTTACCGGCTCAGCAAAAATGCTAGGCACTGCTGCAGCGACTGGCGGACCAAAGCTCCGATGTCGTGCTACGGCGCCGCGCGCAAGGGTGGATACCGATCGCCTCGAAGCCCCCAACATCTTCCTATCCTTTCCCTCTCGGTGGCTCGCTTCTTTCTTCGTAGTCGTCTCCCGCGAGGATGAAGAAGCCCACAGAGCTAGAAACCCACACCCCACACTGCAGTGCAGGATCGAGGCTTAGGGTTTTAGAAGTGGCCGCGGAAGCTTCCAGACGCAGCTGAAATGGCTATTACCTTCTATAAAGGTAATAAGGTATACTTATTTTTCCCTATTGGATATAAAAAAATTAGATCGAACAGTTAATAATATACTTTTTTTTAATAACCTGCTTTTTATTATTGAGACATGAAAAGGTGTGCATCCTTATTTGGTGCAATTTTGTGACTTTTATTGTTTTTCTGGACTAAATAATCTTAAAGTCTCCGGCAAGACAATTGCGAGCCATTACTTGGTTATCTCCGTGAATCATATTCAATATTTGAATATTAATAAAATATTATTATATCTATTGTTGTGGATAAAATAAAAGATATAGTGTTTCATCCTTTTTTATTTTTGGAATAAAACCCTGAAAATAATTACATATTCCTCAATGATCCACGTCGATACGCACCCCTAATTTTCGTGCCACGTCAGTAAGTTTCCTCGTTATCGACGTTAATGTTTCCCTCATTGTTAAATAAAGTGTAAATTATTATTTAATTAAAGAATTACTAGCAAAACCATCCGAGTCACAAACACGTGTCACGTCGACCGCTAATCTAAATCTGGGTGTGGTCACCGTACCCTGGCTAACCTATGAACACCGGATTCCTTTCAAGTGGAGCTTTTTTTAACGGCCCTGACCACGAGCCGGTGACGACAGGGATTTTATTTATTGAAATTAAATGAATAAATAAAATAAAAACTATTTAATTTAGTGAGAATATTTTCACGAACGGGAAGGCTGAGGCTGGCATCATATTCCCGGCCACAGGATCTACCCTCTAACACTGGCTTCCACCGCGGCGTCGCCCCCGTGCCCACAGCCGTGGGGCTCCCATGAGTGCGACCAGGGCGGATCTTCGAGGCCACCGCCGCCGTCGCCGCCGCCGACGCCATTGCTACGCCGCCGGGCCATCGCTTGTTCTTCTCCGCTGCCTCGTCCTCCTCCCGCGGGCCTCCTCGCTCAAAGGTCGACACATGAGGAGACCTCCCCGGATTCCCCGCCTCGTGGTATGCTACTCCGATCCGCTGCGCAGAGCTCCAAGCTGCCCTTCTCCTCCCTCTCTCCCGCTCCGCCACCTCTCTTCATCTTCCGTCTCCCAGAAACCGCTCCGGGAGCCGGAAGCCTCCAGTCTGGTCTCCAGGGTTCTCCGCGTCCTTGCCCAGCCCGGTTGGCGGAGCAGCCCCGACCTCCATGCCCTCGCGCCAGGTCTATGCTCGCATCATATCGTCCAGATCCTGGGATCTCAGTCGGACGCCAACCAGGCCCTCCAGTTCTTCCACTGGATCTCTCGTCTGCATTCCGACAAGCAGAATATGGACATTTTCATCGCTCTCCTGAACCGTCTTGTGGAGGGCGGGGTTTTCGCCCCTGCGGATAGGATCAGGATACTCATGATCAAGTCTTGCAAGAGCCGGGACGAAATTTCCCGGACCTTCGTTTTTTTGGAGGGGATTAGCGTCAAGTCGTTCGGTTTCAGCTTGTTCACCTATAATACGCTACTTATCCAGATGGCCAAGTTCGACATGCTCGAGCTTTCACAGTCAGTTTTCAGTCGGATGTTGGATAGCGGGGTGGCGCCATCAGTCCTCACTTTTAACACAATAATCAATTTGTTGTGCAAGAATGGCAAGATTAGAGCGGCTTTGTTAGTGCTGAGCAGGATGTTCCAGTCAGATATGAGACCTGACACATTCACGTACACATCACTAATCCTCGGGCACTGCAGGAACCGCGATCTCTGTTCAGCATTTGGTGTCTTCGACCGGATGGTCAGGGAGGGATGCAAGCCAAACTCAGTGACATACTCTATTCTGATCAATGGACTTTGTGAAGATGGGAGAGTCGACGAGTCACTGAATCTGATGAAGGAGATGGCAGCGAAAGGGGTGGAAGCTACGGTGTACACATACACTACTACAATTGCATCTCTTTGTGGTATGGGTCGCACTTTAGAGGCACGTGACTTGGTTGCTGTCATGAGGAAGAGGGGGTGCCAGCCCAATGTTCACACGTACACTGCTCTTATCAGTGGATTATGCACTTTCGATCAGCTTGAAGTAGCTATCGGCCTGTTCCACCATATGCTAGGGGAAGGCCTCATTCCCAACCCGGCTACTTATAATGCTCTGATCAATGGGTTGTGTACGAGGAGGGGTATCCAATCTGCTCTGGTGCTTTTCAACTCGATGGAGAGGTGTGGTTGTGCTCCAAATTCACAATCTTATAATGAGATTATAAAGGGATTCTGTTTATCTGGTAGCATTCAGAAAGCAATGATCCTCTTCAACAGGATGCTTAAGGTTGGGCCTGCACTCAATCGTGTAACCTACAATACCATCATTGATGGATACTGTAAAATGGGACATCCCGAAAATGCCATGCGGCTGTTGGACATGATGAAGCAAAATGCCTGCGAACCTGATGAATGGACTTATACTGAACTCATACGTGGGTTTTGCAATGTGGGCCAGCTTGACGCAGCTTCCAAGACATTTGCTGAAATGGTTGATCATAATTTGGTCCCGAATGAAGTCACATACACCACGCTAATTGACGGGTTCTGTAAGGGTGGAAGGGTAGATTTTGCTGTGGATTTATTTAAGGAGATGAGGGGAAAGGGCTGTTTACGTACTGTTCAGATGTATAATGTGCTGATTAATGGTTTTTGCAAGAAAAATCGATTGTCAGAGGCTCAAAGTTTTCTTAATGAGATGTTGGATCAAGGCTTCACACCTAATGTAGTGACTTACACAACACTGATAGATGGGTTCTGTAAGAATGGTGCCACAGATGTAGCATATAGAATTATGCATGAAATGGCCTGCCAAGGTTGCATGCCCAACCTCCTTACTTACAGTGCTCTTATTTATGGGCTCTGCCAAGAAGGAAAAGCTGAGGAAGCAGAGATGGTGCTTGGTGAAATAGAGGAAAAGGGATTGACTCCGGACCACGTTACATATACTTCCCTTATTGATGGCTATGTTGCATTACATGAAACAGGTCGTGCCTTTTCGCTTTTGGGGCGTATGGCCAGTACTGGCTGCATGCCCAATTATCGGACTTACAGAGTACTGATGAAAGCATTGCTAAAGGAACGACAATTAGTTGGAGAAAATGTTGCAACTTTTCCCATTGACATTTCGAGTCGCACCTTAGATGAGGATGCCATAGACTTTGATATTATTTCAAGGCTCTTGCTTAGAATATCAGAGATTGGTTGTAAACTCAATGTATGTGTCTACAACACCCTGGTTAACGGTTTGTGTGGTGAAGGTAAATGGTACGAGGCAAATCTCTTGGTAAAAAGAATGACGAGCCAAGATCTGCACCCAGATGAGGAGGCGTATAATTCGTTGCTCGTTGAAGTATCTAAGAATTTGGAAGTTGATCATGCTTTAGAGATTGTAGACGCTATGGCTGCACAGGGCTATCAGCCCTGTCTTTCAGGTTACAAGGCGCTGATATGTGCTCTCTGCAAGGTGGAGAGGGTAGAAAGGGCACAAACTATGTTTCAAAGAATGCTTCAGCACCTCTGGAATCCTGATGAGATCGTGTGGACAATTCTCCTCGATGGATTGCTGAAGGATGGAGAGGTGGATCTGTGTCTGAAGTTTCTTCATTTCATGGAATCAAAGGGTTGCGCCCCCCACTTCCAGACATACAATATCCTGTCAAGAGAACTTTCTAAAGAGAAAAAGGTGATTGAGAGTGATTCCTCTGTCACGTAAGCTGTAGGCCCATGTACTGGCAAGATGTTGGCGCTAGTAATGCCTAAAAGAGATGGCATTTACTGGTCAGCAGATGGGAGAAACAAATGAAAGATTGAATTATACCTCAGAGAGCGGAATTGATTCTCGTCTTTGACTGTTTCCTTTCCCATTTAAAATTGGTAAGTCACCTCCTAACCAAGTAATTGGATATTTGTCGGTTGTCAGGGTTCCATTGGAGCTTCTATTACATTTATTTTATTTTCTTTCTTTCTTCTTTTGCTGAAAGAACATCTTCAAATTGGGATGGATGACTAATGTTACTTTTTCCTTTTTACATTTCTTTGTCTATTGCAGGAGCACAAAAATCCATTCAGAGATAAATGTACTGAAAATGCTGTTCACGAGGAAAGTCTGAAGGTCGTGTACATGTACTTTCTTGTACATCTACTTGAATTTCAACAGTTCAGAGGCATTGTTTAGAAATTGGAAGCCATATAGTCATTTTTTCTGATATGGCTTCAAGATTCTTTCTGAGTCAGCTTTGCTTTCTTACACAGAAGTAATGGAGACAAAGATAGGAAACTCATAATTTTTAAAAGATACAGATCAACGGTAATGGAGTCATTATTTCTGTGCATGGATATGAGGAACCTCGGCCGAAGTTCAACCTCAGATACGTGGAAAGGCAACTAATTTTGAATGAACGAGAAACAAATTCTACTGCTTTTTTTTTTTTTTGGTGTTTTTGTGTTCACCTGATGTCAGTGAATAGATGAGACACCAGAATTTAGTGTCAGCTATCTGGGAGACCTCGAGTATGTGCTGGTACACATACGGATGTATATTGCCTGTTGGCTGGCTGAGGTTTTTTCTCATTCCATGGCCAAATAAAAAAGTTAAAAAGAAGTGCTGTGACTCCAATTTTGTACGAGAATATAATGTATTCTTACATTAATTTGTGATTATATGTCAAAAAAAAATTTAGTTGATGATCATCTGAAGAATTAAACGTTTCTTCTATAAAAGCCTGGCTTCGTTGTTGCTTTAAATAGACTTGTTTCAGTGATCATATAGTTTTTGTTGGTTGGGTCCTTGATCATGGATGGAAGCTTGCAGTGAATATGCAGGTTTTCTTTCTTTATCCGTTCTAATGTGTCCCGTAATTGATTCTCTCTTAGACAGGATTTGACGCTGTCTATCCATGCATTGTTCTCTTCAATGATTATGGTTTGCAAGGAACAGCCTATTTGTTGATAGATATATTGCTTTTGCATAGTTCACAGCTGATGATATGTTCACACTCGAGCTGCAGTTCCAACAATATGCTCGGGCTCGAAGAACTCTGCTATTATTGCAAATCAAGAGATGTGAACATGCCGTGCATGGATTTGCTTTCTCACTTGATTTTGAACTCTTGAGTTGCACAAAAAGGAGGGAAGGGTTTGTGGTGGCTGAGATGAGATGCCGTTATTATGAAAAGAGCTGGTTCTCCATGTGCTGTTGGCATCCATGTGCCTGCTTGTTGGAGCGTAAGGTGACATCTCCAATACACTTCAGTGGGTCTTGCTTTGGAAGCCCTGATAACAACATTACCGGAATAGCCTGTATATTCACCAAATTCTTCTTTCATCTATGGTCACTCACTAGCCTTTCGTCATCTTTAGTCGGTAGTGCCTTGAAAGATGGTCAGTGGAACCAGTGAATTTGGTCAATTAACTCAAAACTAGAGTCTTTACAGAAACCGACCCCGTTCACTAGCCTTTCCAGAGCAGAGAGAAGGGCAGTAGCTGAATTACGCCCATTCCTGGCACCCCATTTATTTCTAGCAATCTCCTACAGAAGCAAAGAGACGTTGTCATCACCACCGGGTAATCTTCTACCAGTCAGCTGCATCTTCATGTTCCGCCAGGTATGTTGTGGATGAGCAAAATGGTTTATAAATCATACGGTAGTGTCCATTGGAATTATTTTTCGTGCAAAACTCATCTAGTTAGGGACAAAAAATATTGATACTCATGAATACTAGTTATGAATGCTCTCTAAATTTCACTTTCCGGGCATATAATTGTGTTTATTTGGTGATATTCTTGTGTTATTACTCATGCTTCTGCATAGTAGTAATGGTAGTTCTTAACCTGTGTACTGAGATACTGATGCTGAGCTGTCTGGTCTGTGAATAACCAGTGGGACACAGGTTGCTGGTTTAAGGGTTTTGGTGGTTTCCGACTGAATTTTCTCTTCCACTCTCAAAGGAATTTAATAAAAAAACAGATCAAGAAGAGTAATTTGTTCGAAAAGTGTTTGACTTTCTTTGATCAAGCTTTCTAATGAAAGAGAGTTACCAATTCCTCTTGAGGATTGTAATCCTACTAAACGTGGCTCCTACATGCCGCCATCCCCCACCGCTGGCTCCTCATGCCATCGCATCGTCTTCTAAACACTTGTTAACTTCTGTCATCCCTCAAACATCCCCTTTCTTTTCTTCCTGGTAATGAGGCGCTCTGTGGGAGGATCCGGGGAGCTACTGGCCTTTTGGGCACGTTGACCTTCTCAAGTCTTCACTGTGAAATACTGGTAGAGTCAACTCCTGCTCGGATAAACCTACACGGTCTCGCTGGAGATCACTCCTCCCAAGCCCCGCCTCGCCTGGACATGATATATCTATGTGCCATTTAGCTTTTATCTCACTCACCCATACCGATCAGGTTGAGCTGCTGACGATACAAATTTGAGACAACTTCATGATAGCTTCGAAAGGCATTGACTTTTTTTTGCTGCGGGGATTGCAGAAATTATGAATTTGGTGGTGTGACGGGGGCTTGATGGGTCAAGAATTTTTCATAGGAAAATGTATGATAATCAATTCAGCTGAGTAGGGGTCCAACTGGGCGGGCCCATCTGTTTTTAATGGGCTTGGGCTTAATAAAAAGCCCAAAATTGAAAACTGGCTCCAGCCCCATGCCCATCAGTTGGGGGCTGAAACTGGGTCCTCAGTTTTTTGTTGACCGTCTGACTCGTGATCTCTCCGCCTCTCAGATGGAGGGAGGAGTTTGACCTCAAAAAGACCTGATTTTTATCCGGCAAAGTATAGACTGACAGCCCTACGGAAGGAAGACAGAGGGGGCTTCGATAGATCTTTATTTACCATATACACCGGAAAGCGACATTCCTGTGTACGCCCAAAGAAGCTTTCCAAGTATGACGGCAGCAAAGTGCCAAATTATTGGTGCCGGGCTCGTCCAAGGGCTGCAATGCTCGTCGGAAGGCGGCGGACGGAATCGAGAGAAACACCGAGGTGGCGACGGAGGAAAGAAAAGCAAAATGTGACATCGCTGGCTCCCTACCCAACACGCCGCTTCCGCCCAAGAGCACCGGGACAAGGTGGAGAGAGTAGCAGACGATAAAAGGAAGCCCGCGACTCTTCCCATCCCTCGAGGACAACATTCATTTCATTCCCCCTCTCTCTCTATCTCTATCTCCCGCTTTCTCTCGCTGGGGGGGCGAAGGGCATGGGAGACAGAGGAGGTGAAGAGGGTCCAAAGGAAAGGTGACAAAGTGGGCAGTCGGTGTGGGGAATGAACAGGGGGGAACTCTTGATATTCCCTCGAGAAGCCCCACAATTCACATCGGCAGGATTCCCCACCGCGCGCCCCTCCGCACGCTACCGTCCGCCACATCTTATCCCTCCCTCTGTTTAAAGCTCCTCTGAACAACCCTGCTCCCTGGCCTTTGCGCATCCCCTGAAGATTCTCTCTCTCTCTCTCTTTCGATCTCTATCTATATCTCCATGCAGTGCCCATAAATACCCCGGGCACCGCACCGTGGGCGTGGGCTACGTCGTGTGTGGAGACTCCAAAGCTGCCGGCGGCCAAAGACTGCGACGTAATGGGGAGGGGAGAAGGCGGCGGCGGCGGCGACTCCGCCGCCGTCTACTCGTCCATAGCTCTCCTGCAGGAGAGGTTCAGGCGGCTGCAGAGGGTCCGGGAGATGAGGGAAGAGAGGGAGCTCTTGAGGGCCTACCCGGGCACGGTGGCGCACAGCTGCGAGCAGCAGCGTGCCATGTGGTTCGTCCGCCCCGCGCCGCCGCCTAGGAGCTTCCGGCCGGAGACCGCCAGGAAGCACGCCGAGCTCACCGCCTGCGCCATCCGCTGCCCCAATGGGCCCGACGAGATGGACGCCGTCGACACCTCTCTTCACCTGTAAGAAGAAGGAAAAAGAAGAGGAAGAAGAAGCTAGGGACTGAAACTCAGAAGCTCCATAGATTTTTCCCGTCCAAGATCCTGCTGCTGCTTTTCCATTTTCCCCCACCTTTTGGTGGTGGCTTTCAAGATGGAATGAGAAGAAAGAAGAGGAATTGGAGGGTTTATATAGATAGCTACTGTGGATTGGTATTTTCGTAGTCTTTATCGTGTTCAATCACATAGCAGTTGGAGTCGGCCTCCGATGTCACCTCCGAGGTCGCTTCCTCGTCGCACTCATATTCGGATCGCTCCTCGGGAGGGATCTCACTACAGTCAACAGCCTCCGCCGCATCGCCGCCGCCGCGTTTCTTTCTCTTCACGACCTTGGTCGATAGGATGCGGTTCATCCCCTTGGTCTCCGTCCCCACACTCTCATTCCCCACCGGTCTGAACATCACCATGCCCACCTTCCTCGCATTCGCTTCAAGAATCTGCAGAGCAGAACCGCGCGAAGATGAATTGATGGCGTATTTTTCTCTCCCAGATTGAAGAATATGTAAAACATATATATATATCCGTCTAAGCAACACATAAATGGCACATACCTCGAGTTCGAAGGTCTGGCTCTTTTCTCTCTCATCTTGCTGATCGGATTCGTTCTTGGCATAGTCGTCGTTTTCTTCTCTCTCTGTCCTCTCGAGAACCACCTGGATCTTATCACCCGTGTTGGGGATGCAGCCATATGTCTCGCAGATGAAACCGGATACAGTCTCATACTGATGACCCTGGATAACCCACACAAGGCATTTATTTACACAGCGCCATCTCAGTTTCATCGCCTCAGTTACTGGGATCTAATGAAACCATCGACGAGAAAGGACATCACAGGAGCTCGATTCGAAAGATAAGACATGTCAGGTGCATGAGAGAAGAATCCCACGTTTGATCTTTAGGATAAGTCAAGTCAGGCGGGTGGGTGGCATATGAAGGCCTTGAGCTGGAAAAAGCTAGTCCTATTTTTAAGAACCTGGTCGCAATACGAAATTATTTAGACCGACTTCGGTTCTGACACCGGCGCATTTGATGAAAACCTTAGTATAATAATTATTTCTCTTTAACTAGTGTAACTGATCCGATATTGGAGATGGAAGTCGCAGAAAAACAAGTCAGCGAACCATGCTATAAATGAAGTGCCATAAAAGTTCCAGAATCTCTCAAGGGACAGTAAGAACAACGGAAACAGAGGCTATACTGGGAGTCTGAAATGAAATTCTAAATAGAGAACTCACTTCAGGTATTTTAACGTTCAGCTCATCCGAGAGTTGATCAATAGATGTGTTTGCATCCACACGGAATGATCCGTCATCTAGCATCACAATATCACCAGTTTTCTTCTGGATCTCTTCCTGTTATATCAAGGCATAAGATTAGTTAAGCTGAAAGGGAATGAAGCTGTACAGTTTTAACCACAGCCACCCCGGGAAACACTGCAACCAAGGTCACCGGAATATAAAAAAATACTGCAACAAAAGCGCATGTTTTCATCCCCCCTCTCACCCTAACACACACGCATGCACGATGTGAGGAAGGAATTATCTTGTAACGCAAAAAAAATAGTTTTTCCAGATAGTTTTCCCGTCAAATATGAAGATCCCAAGTAATTTCTACTAAGCTTCAGAGTACATCAGAACCCACTGACTCTTTCTAAGATAATCTTCGCAGTAGACTGCTGACCATCTTAGAATGCTAGAGGGAGAAGTACAATTAACTGTTAAGCAATAAAAGGAACCCATATAATGATACAACTCCTGGACAAACTTACCTTTGAATCATTTTCATCAAAGATTTCGCCAACAATTTCCTCAACAACATCTTCTAACGTCACAATCTGTTCCAGTAAAAAAGTTCCAGGAAAAAATGTGAGATTGTATGCCGAAAGCATTCAGCAGTTACATTTTTGTCCATATATTGTGGGAAAATACAACTCAAAGGACATGAAGAATGATAATAGTTGACAATGTGGTGAACGCTTAGAAAACAATAAGGTAACCTGAATTGCAAAACAGGCGTATCTTTTAGCACATGTACGAGCAGACACTAGAATGAAAAACTTGAAGCGTATTATAAAAGTAAATTTTCATCTAAAAGGAATTCAAATTTAGCATTAGTTTTCGATCTCCTTACGAACGGTGCACATGCATTCATCTGATACCTCTAGGGAGCTGTTTCAAACTGAAAAGTATTTAGAAACAGGGAAAATATTACTTAAGCACGAAGATGATAGATATATAGCCCTTGTTGCAAGGTGATTTGCACGAGAGTAGGGCAGCAGCAGGCAGCCATATCAGGAGATCAATATGACAGGCAGAGAAAGACACAATATCGCTCCTCTGTCAAGCGGATGAGCAAATGCACTGAGGTTATGGCTATCAGCTTTTACAGTGGCGTCCTTCTTGTGACCAATTTTTATCTTGTTCAACCTTTTTTTATCCTCCCATACATGCAATAGAGGCATCAATCGTTTTTTATTTCATTCGAAGATGAATCGTGGATTCAAGATGTCTGCATGGTCTTCAGTGCATAGTTGAGCAAAATGGAAGGGATGGAGCTGAATACTTATGTAGCATATCTCTAAAACCAGATCTGTAGAACCAGATAATTCTACAGATGGGGCAACCAAGACTTCCACATTGACAAATGCAATCAATTTGTGTTCCCACTTAGGCTCGGACAACACTTTCGAATAACATAAAAAGGGCTTTCCCAAACAAATCAAGGAACTCAGTATGGTAGACAGGGCCTAGACAAGACCTGATTATTCTAGAGAATGCCAATGATGGCTCCGGCTTCATCACCATGGTGACGGTATTTTTCAGCCAATGCAGCTCTTTCTGCACACTCTAATTTAATCAACACAGATTGGATTGTTACGAGCCTCGGAAAAAAAGAAATGTCGAAGGCTTTAGCATAGTCACACATTGAAAGGGTCAGTTAAAGTCTTCAGTAAAAATAAATGTATGCCCCTACGCTACTCGTTATTGATTGGTTTTGATATGGAAGGCTTAATTCTTCTAAACAGTACAGGAGCACTAATTTTCATCTACTGTCTGTCACACTAATGTTGTCTACATAACAAGGCCAGCAAGAAGTCAGGCACACATAAAAAGTTCGACAAGGAAATTGAGATGTCAAATTTGATAAAATTATATAGACTTAAGTTCACATTGGAAGTCGGCTTTGAATATGTACACGCACAAGCAAAATAGAAGGAACAAGCATGTCATACATTTTTTGACGAAATGGAACCTGCTCCCTCACTTTTGAATGATTTAGTTAAACCATGGGTGTCAGCAAACCTGACCTTAGACATTTCACAATATCCAAAGAATTTGACACCGTGGGTTTTAAAATAAGCCTAGTGACAGAAAAAGAAAGCACGAACTTTCTCATATAAATCTGCGTGGAGGACTGATAAACTTTTAAAAAAGGAATCAGATACTTCAATGCACGAAAACCAAAGAATCAGCAATGTAGCCACATTTCACATAGTAACTAGCAAGAAAACTTACACCAACAGTTCCACCGTATTCGTTCAGAACAACAGCCATATGAACCTTCCTTATCCGAAACTCTCTGAGTAGATTCCAGACTGACATTGAGTCTGCAAGGCCCAAAAATAAAAAATTTAAAATAATTTATGATTCGAAAAACATTGTAAACACGAAAGCATTTCAGATTAGTTACAGACTATTGTCTTAACCACAAAAAATACGACCTCATATCGCTATACCAAAATAGAGGAACTTATATTTCACCACTGATATTGCAGAAGGAGATACATTTGTACAATGGAACCTAATTAATTGCTATTTCATATCACGTTTTAGAAGCATCTAAACGGAGTCAGGAAGTCTCACTTTGTCGTCTGACCCTGATAAAAGAGCTCGCACAGATATCTCTTATCAGGGTTTAGTTATTTATGTTTTACAGCAAAAATAGGAACTTAAGCTTAACCAGAATGGTGTAACGTAAACTAATTTGAGCTGTCTTATGCCCTCTTTTTTCCCATCCTCAAAAAAATATACAAATTTTCATCGTAGCTGTCTTCCGTTATCTGTCGTAGTCCATGAACAGCAAATCGTAATGGGTGATTAGTTTTTACTGTTTCTTCTTATTTAACACAATTGCTCACTTTATGACTCTCCTCATTCCCCAAGATGCAAGTCATTGGGTTTGCTGGAGCAAGATATTATGCACACCAACGACATGCTAATCAGTCATTCATTGCTCTTTCACGCTGAGAAAACTGTTTCTTAACCTTATCTAATCATTCATGGTCATTATTAATGTCGAGCTTTCCAAGTGCGGATCATTTTTCATGTGGCCTTCCAACATTCTATTCGGTACTTTCTGCTTTCCCTTTCCACTATTCTTTTTGGAAACATTAAATCATCTGCTATAGACAGCCAACCGATCAATTTAAACAAGTGGCTCTTCGTTAGAATTACCTGGCACAAAATATGTAGGCTTGTGTGCAATATCTCCCACAGTTGATTCTTGTAGTTGATCGACCTTTATAAGAAACAAGAATTCACCGCCACAATCTGAACATTTCTCAGAGGAACATAAACGAGAATGATCCAAGTTTAACATACCTTCTCAACATATTCCAGCATATCCATTGCATATGCAATACCTACAATATTATCAACACGCTGCTCAAATACAGGTACCCTGGTAGAACGACATCATCTTCAAACCAAAGTTCAGTAATAAAAATAAATACGAAAACCAGTATGTGAATTTCTACAAATCTCCAATCAAAGCAAAGTCTAGTAATAATAGCAAATATTAACATCAATATATGAATTTTTACAAACCTCGAGTACTGATGAGTTACCCATAATTGTTGGAAATCAATGAGCTTAGCACCAGAATCAATTGCAACTACATCAACCAAAGGTGTCATCACCTCCCTAACGTGTGTATCTTTTATCTCTAGTACGTTTTCAATCATATCCTGCCAAAAAAAGAGATAACTGATCAGAATTTGCTTCATTTCATCACTCATTTGAACATCTCTCCCTGCCGTCGATCACACTAGTAAAAGGAGGTAGAAGAGAGGTGTACACGCAGGAGTGTCACTAATTAAAATTCAAGGACAACCTCACAGTAAATGGGCAATCACGTTCTGTGAATAGTGGATTCCACCTCATATACATACAAAAGTCTCCCTGTGAGTTCACTTTCATTGATTGCTCAAACTAAGCAAAGATTTCACCAGAAATTTTCTTTAGCAAACACAATTTACTTGCTGATAAAAAATAGAATAGTCAACATCAAAATACACAAAAATAGACCTTATTTAAACACCCAGCAAAGAAGAAAAACAACGAACACCATACAGCTAACCTTGAATATCAGTATTCAATGTTCTATGAAGCATAGATCAAATTTTCTGGATATTAATATCCCCTTTGGATAAATAACAGAATTGAACTTTATCAAAGGCTATCTTCACCACAGTAAAAAGTCTTATCTGTATCAATCAACCTCCGCTGCTGCACGATAAACATCTTTAATGAATTCTATCAAACTCCTAGCAACCCCTTCTGGTTCTCATCCATAAGCAGCTATTTTATGTTTTTTCCAAGTCAGTTCAAACAATGTAAATGCCATATCAAAGCATCTTAAACATGACGTGCTATAACCATGAAAGTGTCTTTCAGATGCCACGGAAAGAAGATACTTGATTATACAGGGAAAAACAAAAAAACACCTCAAGAATGTGAAAGAACCACCTCAAAACTGAATGTCAGCAATAATAATTCTTTCACAGTGCTATCAAGTGAGCATCCACATTCAACTATCACAAATTTCCTTATGCATGACATTACTGTCACATGATTTGAGCAAGTCTGACTCGACAATAAAATGTGATAACATTTCAAATTCAAGGGAAACCTTTGTGCAACACTTCATTCATTCATATTGGAATATGGAAACTTTCTTATTAGCATGACTTGTACCACATGTACATCGCCAAAGCCATTATTTCAAAGTAAACCAAAGCAAGAGATATCTGAAGTGAATATAAAGAAGCGGGCCCCGTGATTTACTATGCGAAAAAACTTCACAGAAGGTACAAAAATCGGTCACACGAGTGCATTTGTCTCAAATCCTGTGACAGTAATGTCATGCATAAAGAGCCTTGTTTAGGTTCCTTCTTTATTGTTTGGATTAAAATCCAAGACTGGAGCCCTTTGGTGAAAAAAAAAGGAAACACGAAATTTCATCCTCCGACATTACAAAAATGTGTCAACCATTATAGTGAGAATCCTAAACTTGCAAGAGATGGATCTCAGCCTTAACCATAAGTTCCACCTATTAAATACACAAGCTAAACACGATATGACTAAAGATGTCATGCTTATTGAGTTTTATAATTGCACAAGAGTGGCAAAATCTTTAGAGTTTAAAAGAAGACGATGGTGTCTATATCAGTTATAGACAGATGGAAAACTGAAACATCTCTGCACAGAGGAAAGAAAGTAATTGTATCCACAGGAATAATAGACTAATACATAAAGTCAATTTATATCTACCAAAATGTTTTCTTAGTGAAAGCAACATCAGCTCTTTCCCGTTTCTTGCCTCCATGAGAAGCATGGAGGCACTAAACCCATTTCCTCCAGTTCTGTCACATTATTCAATTCACCCTTCCATTAAAAGAATGAAAATGACAGGACATAGGAAGGATTTACACAACCTCATCCACCGCAACAAATCGATACTATACTTAATCCTCAGAAGTCAATAAGAACTACCATTCTTCAGCACATTTAATAACCACGTTTTGATGCGCGGACGATATCACCCCGAATAACAATGTTCTTAAGATTTTCAAGCAAGAGAACAACCAACAGGAACAAAACTAAATTCCAGATACCATCTTGTACTCAACAAAATCATGAGCATCAAGAAGGTCGTGGGGGGTCATAAAAAACTCAAGTGAATAGATAATATTACGCTAGTAGCTTAGATATAAAAAGGAATCAAGCTAGTAACGACAAAAAAAGAGATTTGCAATGGAAAGTTTCTAGTCACCTGCTCCTCCTCTTCTATAGCCCCACTCAACTCTGCTCCTCTCAGCATCAACTTTAATTCATCTTCTGTAACGTATGGTTCACTATTTTTTAAACAGAAAAAGGATAAGAACACCAATTATGTGCGCCAGCTTATCACTCTAACAGACATTATTTAGTTAATAAGAAATATGATTTTGAAAACTAGCACAAGACTTTATTTGAAAACAGTCAATTGATATACTTAAATATTCAAGGATTCATTTATTGGAGCACATAAATGGCCAATCAAATGGAGATGAAACTCTAACGGAGAGCTCTGAGTCAATTCTTAAAGAGGGTCAGCGATGATTATTTATAATCTGGTAGGGAAAACTTAATGCAGATGAAGACCCTTCAACAGAACAACAAGCATCTGGTGGAAAAATCTACATAAGACCTCACTAATGTCATTTAAACTGACCAAAGATGAGTAAAATATTAAAGTTCATGCGATCATGGCTACTATAGACGTCAACTTTGTAAATCCTAGAGATCAAGAGGACGAATACGAATGGCCTAGCCATTATCCTGATATGGTGGTAGAGAGAAAGAAACTAGCGTGCTCACATGACTTAGATAAGAATCGTAGGCTGAGTTACATGGATACGTCATAGACTGAGTTACAACGTGTGCTGACACAAAAAATCAATTCAGCTCCCCTCTTAGTACTTTATTTAGTTACACTGAAGCCAATAACAAGCTCATGTGAAATAGAAACTCATAGTAGTTAAATTGTATCCCTCATGTTACAATTAGGGCCTTAATATAGGCCGAAAAGTGAGGTGGAATGCTTTTGAAAAGGAAGATCCCACTGGACATCTAGAATGAATGATGGGAGCGCTTCCACCTGGCAGTACTATGGCCGATTCGGAGGGCATGAATACGGATGTTAAACTTCTGACTGATAGATCCATGGAGAAGTTTAAAGACCTGGCAAAATCCATGATGGGTAAAAGGATAAAATTGGCCCTTAAGGGGTTATAATAAATTGTACACTTCAGGAGTGTTGATATATTGTAGATCCTATTCCGCCATCTTCACGGACCAGGTTGACTAAACTGTGAGGGATAAGAATTGTGGATCTTCATAAGAGATTCTCCAATGAGATAAACCTACGAGAAGTGCATTTGCATATACCTATTTATAAATTTTCACTGCCAATGACACATTTTTTATCTTCCGTAAAAGTTATGGCCATGATGTACAAAACATTGTACACGAATTTTACATCAAGCTTCCCAACATTTCAGCAAGAGCAATAACATTGGTTTCTTTTTTAGGTTTATACCACATTGATGGCTTTCTGTGGCTTCCGTCTGTCTATGATATAATTTATATATCAGACATCTGAGTAAGACCTAATCGAAATGAAACCATTCAACAATTGAGTTAAGAAGCATGTATGAAAAAAATGTGTTCTTTTCTCTTTATCTAATATAAGGATGACGAAAAAAAGAAAGTAAAGACGTACAGAACCCATTGGAAATGATGGTAAAAGCTAATTGAGCGAGTAATATGTAACTTACCTTCTACCTTTCAAGCCAAGAATCTTCAGCATACCCATTGATAGAAATGTTACAACCCTTCCAACAGGATACAGAATCAAAGAAAGCCATGCAACAGGCCTGAACCAAGGAAAATTTTGCAAAATGAGTTTAATATTAGTAACATTCCAATAGGAACATAACAGCGAAATCAATATTGTGGACATTTCTTATTTTTTAAATGAATCTCTTTTCCTTTAAACACTGAACAAACAGATTGAAATTCACCTTACAACAAATCTTGCTACCTCTGTCGCGTTATGAACAGCAACACTCTTTGGAGTGATCTCTGTGAGAAGCAAAATAGCTACCTGAAATAGTGTCGAAAAGGAAGGAGAACAATTAAATGACAAATCCATAAGCAGTATGAAGTAGGGTTGGAATTATATTGTACAAGTTCATTAACAATGAATAAACGACTTCAGATTCGAAACAGAGGACACGAATAAACTTGCATCCAAGATAGAAGTTCACCTCACGATCTTCTTGCAACGTACTTCAGAAGAGAGAAGGTGGGTGAAATAGACATTATAAATACAGCTGTGTTAGAAACCTCTGATCTACTCAAATCCTTCTACCCTCTGCAACATTCTGCTCATCATCTTGGTTACAGCAACCGAACATGAGAGGAAACATATGATCGTTTTACCAGAGGCATCTCTTGCAATGGATGGATGACTAAGGTTTTGACGAAAGAAAACAATGTGATAGCTGTAATGCAAGATCAGATCAGTTAAGATACATCGGTTGTCAGAAGCTATCTGAATCCAGCTTCTAGGAGATGTGGCCTCACCTTTCCTTATGGCAGACCCTCTCATAGCCCACCTTAAGAATCAGTAGGATTCCTCATTGGTTCTTCGTGTGCATTCATATGCCAAATGAAAATTCTCTTCATTGTGATGCCAACATTAGAAAGCCTTATTCAGATGCATTATTTGGGTTTTTCCTTCAGTGTAATCTGTCACAGCCTCCATACATCTTCTTGAGCAACGTGCCATGAGCTCTGGAAGAGTAGAGCTCGTATTGACCAAGGGCTGTAAACCCCATTAAACTAAAAAATAGCATCAATCATCAGGTCCTCCATAAACGGGCTACAGAATTCCCTTCACCCTCCCTTGAGATTTTTGACATCGGATCCTCTACTTGGTCTCCAAACATCTTCCTTCACGCTAGCCTTGAGAAAAGGCTTACAATGTTGTCGTAGGCATAATGCGTAATTCTGTGAGGGATCTCATAAATCGATATCTTTTCGAACAGATTGAACATTTTCCTTTGAAACTGGATAGTACAGCACGAATCAAGCATTACAAAGAGCCAGGAAAATGCAAGAAACAGTAACCTCGCATGTAGAAGAAGATGGTTTTAAAACGAGAATACAAAAAAAACGGATACGTTTTTAGAAGAATTTTAAGAAGTAATTAATACCCTATTTGCGCTAGAAATTAAAAAAATGAAAGGCCTAATTATCAGGTTACTCGGTCATATTAGAAATGAAAGCTGCAGCTGATCAACGTAAGTTTGAGAATGAAGACCATCGATCCGTTCATGGACGAAAAAGACAAGTTAACAAACAAACAAAAAATTATTGTCAAAAAGTCAAAGCATCTCGCATACCGTCATAACCCCTGTAGCAGCACTGATTCCTGCTTCACCAAAAATCGTAGTTGCTGCCTCTGTGACAAGAGCTGTTGCACCAATATTGACCACACTACACACTCAAAGAGCACAGCAAAAAAAAAAAAATGATCCTTCGTTGAAATAATAGCCACAGGTTATTGCAGATCATTTCCACACAAGGGTTCGCATTTTCATCTGAAGCAAACCCCAAGCCCTAAATCCATATAAATACAGCAGTGGAAAACTGATAAGGGGCAAAAGGTCCGTACGTTGTTCCAATAAGAATAGTTGTCAGGAACCGAGTGACATCACTACGAAGCATTCGGAATACACCGTTCTCAGGCTCTTTCTCAGCCAATTCACGCACCTGATAAAAAATATGAGATGCTGCTCACTAAGCAAATGAACACCTAATTAAAAGTGTGCCAATAATTATAAGATATAATAAATGATTTAAGCTCTACATTTAAAAATATCTACCAATGGTAGACGACCAAAAGATTAATGGCATTATCCGGTCAATTTTTTAATAAAATAATTAAAAACCTGATGACAGCTGTTGATGACTAAAATACTTCTCTCCTCTTTCAGGTTAGGAGATGGGGGCTATGAAAAGTGTCAATTGATTTTCTTGTCCTTTCCTACAAGATTTCACATGGGGGGCAAATAAATCTTCATTCAGGCAAAACCTTCATGTGGTCCTTGAGACTGTATTACACATATTAGGTACCACCAATTTGCATCAAGACCGCGCACGAGGAGCAAGCCACCGCCAAACCCTAAACACACGCTCGAAATATTCAAAGCTTGGTCCTGATCATTAAAAGGATGGAAATTGAATCAAGTATTTTATACATTCTATGTATTTAATGGAGTAATGGGACGATACCCCGAAAAAAAAGAATTTTGGATTGACGTTAGGGAGTGAAGACGAACAGGCCAGAACAATTCTCAAATTCTCAATAGAGAGAAGAGAGTTAGGATTAGTCCACAAGAAGAAAGGATGAATAAAGGTAAGAAGTTGATGAAGAAACTCAATAATTCACTGGAAGAAAAACGATTGAGCTCAATATTTTCTAGGTAACAACAAAGAGCAAGCTAGGCATCTAAAAAATGAAGAATATGTGAAAGAGAAAGTTGCAATGACTGAGGTACTATAATTAGTATGCTCGATGAAGAGGTAATGCCCATGACCTTCATGTGGCTTCTAGTTAGCTAATAGGCATGCCCTTTGTACGCGGCCAGTAGAAAAGATGACTGGAACATGGAAGAATTAGTGACTAAATGACACTGGATTTAGCTTTCGTGACTTCCTTTATAATGTAGAGAAGTACCTTCCACGGCCACAGAGTTGTGATAGAGGTTTCTGCCATGGAGAAAAACGCAGATAACCCCAGTAGAGCGGCTAAGATCAATCCTTGCTCCTTGAAAACACAGAGAACCTGCAAAATTTTCGGCCACGCATCCCTAAGCGCCATCCCACCTCTCCCCAAGACACCGACCGTCAATTGCGAGACGCTTTCCTCGGCGAGAACCGACCGACAACTCATCACAAGCACCGTCCAAATCGCCACAGTAACCAGAATGCCAGACCCCTTTCCAACAAAAACACTCAGGATTCGGAACTTCCGCCCGCCTCCACACTCTCCATTGTCCGAAGGCTCCATGCCGGCCCTCACAACAAGAGAACATCCGCTCCGGTCTCTCCTATCGCGGACTCCACCAAAAACATTCCGTCTCACACGACTCCTCGCGACGGCGCGCGTTAAGCGCCTCCCTCCGACGGAAATCAGCCCCGCAGAGCTCCAACCTCTCCGACCTTCGGGAAAGCAACAACCTCCCCAGCGGCAGCGCAACCTGGACTCATACTCCACAGCCGCGGCTGCAGCGGCAGTGAAGCTTATCCCGGCGGTCGCCAGCGTCGGTCCACGGGGCAACCGCGGCGCGAGGAAGCAGGTAAACGGCGGCGGCGAGGAAGCTAGAGCCGGACCGAGCGCCATCGCTAGGGCGGAGGGAGAGTGAGCGCGAGCCGGCGTGGACGAGGACTCATCAGCTCCACCGTCTGGTTTTCGGGCTGTTTTTCTGAGGGGCCGCGTAGGCAGTTACGACTTTATCGTCTGGACTAATGGATCTCTCTGCGCGCATCGACAGGGAGGTGGTCAGAGCACAATTACAGAATAAGCCCCTAAAATTCCACAGAATACCTTGGGGCGTCACGCACAGCCCTTTTTAATGGGCCTAAATGGGCTTGGGCCAAAGGACGAATGATTCTGATCTGCCAGAATGGGTGGGCATCCGCAGTCCCCAGACTGGGACAATCTCGTTCGATCAACCACATCTGATTCTGATCTGCTACGCCGCGCAATCTTGGACCGCGTACCTTGGATTATGGACTTTGAGTCGGGCTTCAAATGGGTTCAGAGACAGAGATAGCGATAGATAGATAGGTAGATAATAGAGATAGAGAGAGAGAGAGAGTTCCATAAGTACAATCATGGGACCCTTTATTAGAGTTGGGACAAGAAAAAGGAGAGGGGATAGAAAGCAGAGAGAACACTGGGGGAGGAGAGAGAGAGAGAGAGAGAGAGAGAGAGAGATATCATGAACCTCCTCTGGATCTACGGCTCCAATTTTAATGAAACAACACGAGACCGTCTATTCCGCCTGGCGGCCCTGACGAGGACCGCCGCGAAGCAGGGTGGGGCCCACCACGGCCGGCGAACCTCCTGCTCTCCTCTCAGGCAAGCGACTGCACGGACAAGACCCAAGTTAGAATTGGCACAGGCTTCATATCTGGGACTTCGCCATGAGAAGTGAGAGAAACATTTAAATTATTGCATGAACGAACGAAGACAAATACTTCGGATCTTCCTTCTAAACCCATTTTTTTGCATGGGAAAATCGGAAATATTACTGGGTGATGGCATGTACCCTGCTCTGTTCTTACATGATTTTGAAGAAATCTGATCATTTAGATATAAGAAAGAGATCATTTCATTGAAGCCAATCTATAGACATTAAGGGAATATAGCTTAAGCCCATAAAAAAGCAAACATGACGAATATATAGAAGAGTATGGAGTGTAAAATACTTTGATTACCCTTGATGCGCCTCAGCTCCTTGCAAAGTGTGATGAAGTCTCCCCATTTCATGTGGCACTGTCTGATAAATCGAAGGATCTGCTCGGTTGTGAACATGGACAAGCCCTCCAGGTATTCTCCATTAATAGCGTTCTCCTCAAAGATCTGGCTGTAGCTACCTAGGTTTATCTCCTCCAACCATAGTCCAACATCCTAGAAACGCAAATCCATATGAGTGATCGAAATATTTCATGAAAAGGTCAATATCCAGCGACCTTAGTGAGAGAAGCCAACATACACAATAACACCCTTTTTTTTTTTCACCAGGAGACGGGAGAGATTCCTTTCATTATGACAGGGGGGGATGGGCCATCACTTTCTGATGGGATTGGATGCTGCAAAATTGATCAAGTAGTCGCCCCATAACCCCCAACCCCTTTTTCTTTTCCATTGTCGAAGTTGACTTCTAATGAGTTCCATATAAACCAGGATTATGATAAATCGCAATGGAAATATGCTGTGGAGCATCAAAAGAATGTGGTGGCCAAAACATAAACATAACAAAGATAATTCTGTGGTGCCAGTCGTCTTGCAAGAAAAGGAAAAAAGAGAATTAGAGAGCAATCATCCCCCAAAAAAGTCAAAGGTCAGCCTAACCCGTGTCGTGGTCCACCTCATAAACAAATATCCTATAAATCGTTTCTTACTCATTTTTCTGGCATTAGTTCTGAAATTAGTTTGACAATAAGGCAACAATTGTAGAACTGAGTGGAGACCCATAGAGGCAGCATATGGCCTAGCATCATGCCTGTTGACCAATGCATGACATATCTCTTATTTTCCAAATCAACTTCTTGCTTTTACCATAACAGAAGCAATTGTCATGGAAAAAAATTTAGAACCAATAAAAAAAAACCCACTAATTGGTATTTTTCTCTCATTGGTCATAAAAAAAATTCAGCTATTTTCCTGCACGTCTCCACTTCCCACTAATTGTGTACTGGCTATAATAAAAACCATTTAGGTATTTTCTGGGAGCCTTGTCACCCCTTAAGTTCATGTACGTTTCATCCACGACTTTCTAACCAGCTTATCCTTAAATTTGCTGCAGCTTTCCACTTTTAAAAGGAGCAGTCTGGACCTAAAATGGTTATAAGTGAAACTAAAGTCCACGAAACACGGAAAAACACAACCTATGTAAATAACAACACGCGAGTATTGATAAATAACTTTCTCCACAACCTTCGAAAATAAAAATAAGAGAGTATTGACATATCACTCTTAGCATGTTTCCAATGAATTCAGCTAACATCGGCTGTCAATAACGGACACAGTTATCCCCGTCCTACCATAGCAGAAGAAGGATACTCTGCTGGTAAAGGTACAGTCGATAGTGAATCATCCATTACTCTGCTGGCCTCACCACTGTGTCGGGAAAATAATATGTCTCGACATATTGAACCCATCAATCAAAGTTCTGCAGGACTTCACCCACGGCTAGATATCACATTCCTAGAAAACAAATCGCTGTCGAGTTGCATGATTATTTCCATTTCAGTTTTCTATAATTCAATGAACTGAAAAATTAAAATAATAAATTAGGAGATGCGACGAGGAAATCCCTTCTCGTCACTACCCAGCTAGGTCCATTGATGGCCGGGAGACTAGTCATTTAAGAAAGTCGCCACGACGAGTGCATGCGAACAAAATGATATATAGACTCAAAGACGATAAATCTGGAACAAAGACTCGATGGAAGAACCTCATTAAAGGACATTTTGGAAAGCTTCTAGACGACTTAGAAAAAATATGGGAGGGGAAAAGCGAGCCTCGATCGAGAGGTGAGATGCGGAGATTACCTCGACAGTCCAGATGAAGAAATCCAAGGGCTCTGGAGGCTTCTCCCGGGGCATTTCTTCGTCCTTCTTCGAAAGCCCTCTGGTACCTAACCAGAAAATCACAAGAAAGAGTCAGCCTACACATTTGGCACGCACATAGCTCCATTTGAACACAAACACGCTCAACGTATCTACCGATAAAGTAGCTCGGTCACGGATCGCCAAGGGAGACCGCCGGAGCCGACTTCCAGTGGAAGAGCCGTCTCATCAAAACCAGGGCGACCACACAAATGGGGAAGAGAACGCTGGAAACTCCAGCATCTCAGAAGCTTCAATCTCGAGTGGACGATCCCTCTCGCAATTCAGGAAGCAGCCGCAGGCAGAAAGAGGGGAAGAAAGACAATGAAGAAGCAGAGAAAATCAGCAGCGACGGCAACAAGAGGGAACCAAACAAGAGAAGAGACGCTAACTGTAGACCCCTTCCGACTCTACGCCTTAATGGGCTTGCCAACCGGGGACCACGGATGATCTAGACTTTTGACCAGGAACCATTGGGGCCACCACCCTCGCAAACTCGGCCCATTTATGGCCCCATTAGGGCCTGGTAAACGATCTAACAGCCTCCATGTGGACCGCCAGACCGGTAATTACATCCTTCGCCACAATTTACCAGTGTTACAGGGACTTATTTTAAGTTAACGTCCTAAAAGAGGGGAGCCCTTTGCGGACGGGCGCTTGCGGCCGTTTCCGTCGGCGTATCCTCTTCTCCGGCGCCGGAGCCGGTGGCCGGATTTCCCCGTCGCTTCCCGGTCGTTATTTGACGCGCCACCAAACGCGCTGCGGATGTGAATCCAAAGGGGGATTCTTTCCGTCGTCTTCTCCCCTTCGATGTCATCGGCAGTAGCCGCCGGCCCCCACTTACAGCCTGCGCCTCCTTTCCGCTGAACTCCCTTGGATGGATTCGCCGGGCGTCGGCGGTTGATCCAAGGGGCTACCAGTCAATTCAGCCACTGTTTCTTTCAAACAGATGGTCTGATCTGATTAGAAGTTTCGCAAAAAGGGGCACAGTTCTCCGAAGGATAATCATTTGGCAGACGGGCAGGAGTCAGTAGAAGACAAAGGATGAGTTGCAAGAACTATATGAATTTATTCAAGGAGGTGATGATCTAGGTTCTGTGCACGAAAGGGTAATGTCTCATGAAATATATGAGGCTGTCTCATGAATTACTGGATTATCACCCTCAATTGCAGATCATTAGCATTAGAAATGGAAGATTTCATGAATTGTTATTCTGTAAATCATCAAATAATGTATCATGGAACTGTTGTCTATATATGTAATTGGTTTTTCCGTACCCTTGGGAGCACATCTAAAGCTCCAAATTTTTATGAGGATCCTTAATTTTGTTTTCTGTTTTCATTTTTATATAATCTTTCGAAATTTGAGCATATAATGCATCTCTATAGACCCGCCCTTTACAAAAATAAAAATAAGAGGCTGAAGCTCAAGAAGAAGTTGAACTTGATCATCCAATTAATAATGTACTCATAAGCCATTGTGTAAATTGAATCATGAATATGATTTCAATAACAATACAATAAAAATATGACATACTTCATCTATTCTTCTAATCTTCTGAAACAATGTGTTATTTCTTACAACTACAATAGATGAATGCTTTCCTTCAGAATTTGAGTATAGCGGAAAAAAATTGGGAAGATAATCTTAAAAACCATAGTTGGACAACTTGACCCTTCCCTCACCTTACACCCAACATCGTCCTTAGATTTTTAAGAATCTGTGAGGCCACTAGGCCTCACCTATCTTAGATGGAGAAAATGGGTCAAAGCCCAAGCTACCACCCTGCCTATTTAAGAATATTAGGGCACCAAGAAGTATGACAAAACTTTTGAGAGAACAAAAGGCTGTCTTACATCTTTTATTCGACTAGGATTTCCCAATGTCATTGTTATCTTTACCTCATTTTCCCTCTTTCACTTTATTTACCCTATTAATCGACCTTGTTAGGGTATGATATCTTAATAATTTATATCAAACCCTCTTTATCTTCTTCTCAGAGACTAGTAAGACACTAATATACTATCGCCTTGTCAGTTAACACTTCCACACCAACCATCAAGGAATGTGCCTAAATGGAGATGAGGTTGTGCACTATCAAGGTGGTGAAAAACGACGAAACTTCCTTCACATAAGAGCATGACATGAGCCACCACGACCTTGTTGAAACAAAACATGGGCCAAATTCTTGGCCAGCTGTTCTAGCAACTGACTGAAACCAAGTAGTGCTCGGAGCATGTGGAAGCTCAACTCATTCTAAATCCTCCAAGTGACACTGCTACTAGTAGTCACGAGGGTTGGCACCACACTAAAAAAGATCTTGGTCCACCTAGGGGAGAAAACTGAATAAGTTTTCTGACATGATAATTTAAGGTGGCCAACTAGGCTTCCAAGCAACTAAGACAAGTAGCTTTTGGCCTCCTTCTTTGAGGGGCCTCACGTGATGATGGTTTCCACATGTTTTACAAGAACACATGGAACTTGAGAAACGATACTCTGAATTGTCTGATCTATTGGTATGCAGTGCAATGTGTACTTTCTTGTCCATTTAATAGTGGATGATATCATGTTCAACTCACCATGTATGATGATACATTACTTTCTAGCACTAAAAGCAAACTCAAAAAAAAAAAGTGAGAGGTGTATAATCATAATGCTAAGAACATGATTAACAAAGTAATAAATTTGAACCTTCTTACAAGATGTTTGGACAGCCAATATGGCCACTAACACAACATAAGATGAGACAAAAATTGACTAACATGAGATGAAATCAACCACTCACCTGGAAGCATGGATCTTTTGAGTGATTATGTGAGGTGATGAATGAGGAGGTAGAGAAGGACCAACTCCCACACTCAAATTTATTAAGAGCTTGAATCCTTAGCAGCATTCTTGTTGTGCCTTTCAGCCTCATGCTAAAGAATACATGCCTCAATAGGCTAAAGCCCAAATTGGTGACAGAAATCACCATGTTCAGCTCTATCAATGTTTAAGAGATGTTGGATATGACTCAAATTGTGAAGAAACACATGCATACATTATGGTAAGCGTGGAGCACATGATGAGTAAAGAATCCACAACCAGACCCTAACAAGAGCATGGATTGCTTCTATCTACACCCCTATATTTGAGCAACAGTCTAAAGGACCCCCTAGTGAAGAGAAGCATCTTGACATTGTCAAAGCCACTGAAACAAAAAGTTGTAATAGTTGGCAAGAGGAAGGTTAGGATGACTAATGCGAGATTCTTATATTGTCATGAGCATGACCTCTACTTTTATTACGATGAGAAATTTCACTTAGGTCATCATTGCAAGAGAGAATTGTATATACTTATAGTACTTGAAGATGACAACTCTAGGGACAAAGAGTCAACCAAGGAGGTTGAAGAAGCACCAGCAAAGATGATAATGGAGGCTGCACAAATGAAAGTATTACTGAGTGTGATCATCAACTTATTTACACTGCAAATATTAAAGGTGAAGGAGGTTTTGTTGGGACAGAAAGTCAGTATCTTGGTGGATTCAAGAGTTACAAATAATTTAATTATTAGAGATTTAATGTAGCGGTTCAACATACTTGTTAACATGATCGTATAACACAGCATGCAATTAGGCAAGGGGTCAATGACAAAATAAGATACAAGACTCAAAGATCATTGATAGTTTCCTTCCCTTATAATCATGTAGTCAAGATGTTATACTGAGCATATAGTGACTTGACTCACTGGGCTTCACCAAAGTGTATTAGGGATTGAGTATTATGTGATTCTGTATTTGAGAGAAGGTAGTGACATTGTAAGGAGATGTTGGACTCAAGATCATCAACTTAGCATTGAAGATAGTCAAGATGGATGGCAAAGTGGTAGCAATAAGAGAACTCAACCAACTGAAGTTAGAAGAGCTCCTTAAATCTCATTCACCCACTAGTGATGCACAAGAGGTAGATTGGAAGCAGCGCATGTAACATGAATTTTTTTTGGTCTTCACACTTATGAGGGTGTTACCCCAACCCATCAAGTAAATCATGGATTCACCTTTGACCAAACACTGTCCTCATAAATATTTGTATATTTCACTGCCCTCAAGACATGAGAGGAATCATTGAATAATTGATCATTATCCTTTTTTGGTTGTGTGAGGCCATTAGAGTCACTAGAACCATCAATTGTGGGGTGAAGTGGTGTATGGGCAGGAGGTGGCCACTGGTAATAGTAATACAATGGGAAATAGGCTTGGAGCTTACATGTAGAAGTATGTACTTACACATTTGGTGAATAACATGCTATCTATTGAGATCCTTCATACTTCCATTAGTCCCATTCTCCAGCCCAACACTACTAGTGTAAAATAAGAATAAGAGTTGGGATTTTTGCATGAACTACCACCCACTAAATTAAGCTATTATCTTCAATCAATTTTTCAGAATAACAATGAATGAGTTAATAGAAGAATTATTTTGAGTTAGTGTTCTCCAAGCTTAACTTATAGGTATGATATTATTAGATCAAGATGAAATCATAAGATATTGTGAAGACATATTTTTAAACTTATGAGGGTCATTATGAGTTTATAGTTATGTTGTTTGGGCTTTAAAATGTTGATTCCACCTTTCCAATATTTATGAACTAAGTTTTTTGCCCTTACCTATGTAAGTTCATTCTTATATTTTTTGACAATACCTTCATATATAATAAGACAACCATAGAGCATGATCAACACTTGAGCTAAGTTTTTTCAATCTTGGCCACTCATGACCTACATGTCAATAGTCAAAAGTATTTATTTGTCGAAGAACAAGTAAAATTCATTAGTTACTAGGTATTAACAAATGAAGTAAAAACTACCAAACAAAAGCTTAAGGTAGTGAAAAAAGGACCCACACTTAGAATGATGAAGGATCTCAAAGGTTTATTAAATCGCATTGAAATATTACTAGTGTTTTATTGAAAACTATGTCTACCTCTCCTAACCATTGATCTAATTGTTAAAAAA